AAGTAAAACTGCCAACCGGAAGTCACGGCCGAAGGGCAATATGAAAAGAGGTCACTGTGAGTCCGGAAAGATGTCTCCGGAGTCCGGCCTGCCAATACGTCGCCTGGTCGTTCGAACCATACTGGCTCACGAAACCTCGACGGAAACGTTCGGCCGCCAACAAAAAGACACCGGGGCGCCTGGCGAATTCGTGACGCCTCGCGAATCATTCACCAGGCGAGTTGCCCTGATCAGGGATGCGAAATAGCAGCATGCGGCGCAGTAGTAAGCCACATCCGTCTTCGGGGGTTCGCAGAAGGATGAGGAAGCGGACTAGGGGAGAAGAGGGAGGATTATGAAGAGGAACCTGAGCAAAAGGATGAAGAGAAGGAGGGAGGTGGGTAGAAGGAAAAGGAAACGTGCCAGAGCATGAAGAGGTCGGACGGGGGAAGGGGAGTTCGAGGGATGTAGAAAGAGGTACGAGGAGCCAGAAGGAGGCAACAGGCGCACTGGTGATCCGCGCGGATCACCGGTGCGCCGTGCGCCCTGGCAAGCAAGGATGCAGGAAGAGGTGAGGAGAGGCAGGAGGAGGCAGGAGGAATATGGGAGGGGGCAGGACCAGGCAGGAGGAGTCAGTTGCAGACACGTTGCGCAGGAAAGTGCCGTAAATCTGGGAAGTGCAGCAACACGCATCGAAACAAAAAAAGGCGAGCCGCTGCATTAGAAAAGTGAGGAGGACGCAGGAGGAAACGGAATACGCACAGAAGCGGGGAGGGAGGACAAAAAGGACGAAACACACGAGGGGAGAGGAGGGGGACGAGGAGCAGGAAGAGGAAGGATGGGAGCGGACGGAGGACACGACGACGACAGGAACCAATCATCGAGACCTTTCCGGGTCTTTCGCTCTGGGTGCCTAGTGGAAGCCACTTAGGGTCCTCTCGGGGCCTTGTGGGGCCCTCTTGGGGCAGTTTTGGAAGCCTCTTGGGTCCTCACGGGGCTCTCTTAGGGCCCTCTTGGAGCCCTCCTGGAGGTCTCTTGGGCCCCTCTTGGAGGCCGTGAGGGCCCTGTCGAGGCCATCTTGGGAGCCGTCGGTCAAGGAAGGGGGAGGACCCTAACAGGGCCCCCCCCGCTCTTGAGCCCCCAAAATCGCCTATTGGGCCCCTCTTGGGGCGCTCTTGGGGCGCTCTGGGGTGCTCTTGGGGCCGTGTTATGCCCCTGTTGGGCCCCCCTTGAGGCCCTGTTAGGCCAGCTCAGAGCCACCTTGAAGCCTCAACAACCCATCGGAAGCGAAAACGCGAGAAGGCAGAACACATTGAAGCACACAATGGTTTTGAAGGATTTGGGCCTCTTGGAGGTCTTTCAGCGCCTTGGCGTCGAAGCTCGGTACAGCCCTAGCTGGAGCTCTTCGTGCTGATGGCTCTGGTCGCACTGCTGCGCCTCCGAGCCTTCATGACGACGAGGGCAAGGACAAGGGCCAGGACAAGACCAACCTTGGCAAGCACAAGGGCAAGGACAAAGAAGTCGCTGCTGATGGTGCTGCACCTCTTGCTGCTCAAGGGCCTCATCTTGAATGTGATGCCATCGCTGGGCCTGATGGGGGTATAGCCTCCCATGGTCGGTCCAATCAGTCTGTCGTGCCGGGCCCCAGCGCGCGTGGCTGCTGCTGCTGATCGCGCTCCTCCTGGTGCTTTTGATACTAGCGCTGATCGTGATCTTTGGAGCGGTGGTCGTCGCCAATGGTTATCCGCTGCGCCGCGCAAACCTCCGTGAGGACGCTAATGGCGCTGCTCATGCCGTGGGTGCAAGGCCTACGGCACATCATGAATACCAGGATTGTGTGAGAGCGCGCCAGTTCGGCGCGCAAGCATGCCGCGCGTGCTTCGCCGCGGATCGCGGTTGCTCTCTGTATGGTGGGTATTCTAGCATGCTGGTTGGTGGGGAGCCCTGTGCCGCTGAGCGGTACAGGGTCTGCACTCTAACCCTCGTTGCTGGAAGTCCCAGCCTCGCTCTCGACAGGTCCACTCCAATCATCCTTCTCCTCCTCCTCCTCCTCCTCCTCCTCCTCCTCATGTCACCTGCTCCTGATCCTCCTCCTCCTCATCGTCCTCCTCCTCCTTCACCTGCTCCTGATCCTCCTCCTCCTCGTCCTCCTCCTCGTCCTCCTCCTCGTCCTCCTCCTCCTCCACCTCTTGCGCTCTTGCGCCCCACCCGCGGTCGTCCCGTGCACACGAGACTTCCGCCCAGCAACAAAGTTAGAACCAAACGTGCCCCAAAGGAAGCGGGGCCTCCACTGCCGCCCTGCGGTTAGGGGGGTCTCCCCTGCTGCAAGATTCCCAAAGCCTTGCTCTTCCAATCCGTGTCAGGACGACTGACAGACGTCTTGGCGAGTCCTCCGCCCCCTCCTCCTCCTCCTCCTCCTCCTCCTCCTCCTCCGACTCCTCCTCCTCCGACTCCTCCTCCTCCTCTTTCTCCTCCTCCTCCTCCTGCTCCTCCTCCTGCTCCTCCTCCTCCTCCTCCTCCTCCTTTTGATGCTCCCCTCTCGGAAGGCATGCAAGGCGGGGGGGTCGCCTCGGAGCCTGGCCGAACACGACCCTCCCGCTGGAGCTCCAGCCACTGCTCCAGCTCGGCCAGGCGAACGTGCCTTCTCTCGCGGATGCGTGCCGCCGCGTTCCTCCTCCTCCTCATCATCAGCAGCAGCAGCATCATCAGCATCATCAGCATCATCAGCAGCAGCATCATCAGCAGCATCATCAGCAGCATCATCATCAGCAGCATCGTTAGCAGCATCAGTACCAGCAGCAGCATCATCATCATCAACAGCATCAACAGCATCATCGTAATCACCAGCATCATCATCATCATCCTCATCATCATCATCATCATCATCATCATCATCGTCGTCGTCGTCGTCGTCATCATCATCATCATCATCATCATCATCATCATCATCATCATCATCATCATCATCATCATCACATCATCATCATCATTATCATCGTCAGCATCAGCATCATCATCTTCAATAGCAGCATCAACAGCATCAGCATCAGCAGCATAATCATCATCAGCATCATCACCAACATCGTCATCATCATCAAAACCGTCAGTATCACAATCACCATCATCAACAGCATCAGCATCATCATCGGCATCAGCAGCATCATCGGCATCAGCAGCATCATCATCGGCAGCATCAGCATCATCAGCAGCTTGAGTATCAGCATCGCCATCAGCACCATCTTCGTCATCATCAGCATCCTCATCACCATCAGCATCAGCATCATCGCATCCCTCCCTCTGAGCTCCCCCGCAGGATCAGTACCGCTACGTTCCCCCTTCGGTGGCAACTCATGGGAGCCTCCCATACCATCGTGTCGGCGCTTGCGAGATCGACGCTAGTCGACGATACATCGACGCTAATCGGCGCTACATCGACGCTATTTGGCGCTAACCGACGCTAAATGGACGCTAACCGACGCTAAAGACAGAAGTACGAGGGTCCACAAGGCTCCCATGAGTTGCTACAGAACCTTCCCCCTCATCCACCTGTCGGGACGGGTAAAGGGCATTTGAAAACGACATACAAACATAAACGTTCGGAGGTCCGTGCAGATCTCTCGGATCGGCGCTGGAGGCGCCGCCAGGGGGGGGGGAAGCGCCGATCCAGGAAGTCTGCGCGGCCCGACGACCAATTATGTACATACGGTGTAAGTTGGTCTTCGATCTGTGGCACGCATATCGTCGGTAAAGATTCGCATGTTAATCCTTCGCTATGTGTGCAGACCCTGAGTTCCAATAGTAGCACGCTGATGGGGTCGTTCTGTCGGCGTGGCATTGATATTATTGTTGCTCGCCGAGTATGGCTCATGCAATACCACCATCAGTAACCGCATAAACGGGGCGAGCGCGAGGAAGGAGGAAAGAGGAAAAGAAGGGGAGGGAAGGAAAAAGGATAGAGGAAGGAAATCCGCCGGCCCCCTTGTGGGGCCACCAGGCTGCGAGGAGCGGGATTCGCAGTTACCTGTACCAGTTGTAGCTTGTAGTTTCCAGTGTTACAGTTCTGCTTATTGCTGGTTACTGTAACTAGTTGATTGACCGCGCGAGGGGGGGGGAGGCCCAAACCGGCTTTTTAGCACCCCCTGGGCGCGTTGTCTGAATTGCTGGGGGGGCTCGAAATCGACACCCCTCACGCAGATCCGCGGGGTCAGGGTCCAAAAACACAGGGATTTGCCACATTTCTGAAATTCGGTGCCACCCCTCACGCAGATCCGCGGGGTCAGGGTCCAAAAACACAGGGATTTGCCACATTTCTGAAATTCGGTGCCACCCCTCACGCAGATCCGCGGGGTCAGGGTCCAAAAACACAGGGATTTGCCACATTTCTGAAATTCGGTGCCACCCCTCACGCAGATCCGCGGGGTCAGGGTCCAAAAACACAGGGATTTGCCACATTTCTGAAATTCGGTGCCACCCCTCACGCAGATCCGCGGGGTCAGGGTCCAAAAACACAAGGGATTTGCCACATTTCTGAAATTCGGTGCCACCCCTCACGCAGATCCGCGGGGTCAGGGTCCAAAAACACATGGGATTTGCCACATTTCTGAAATTCGGTGCCACCCCTCACGCAGATCCGCGGGGTCAGGGTCCAAAAACACAGGGGATTTGCCACATTTCTGAAATTCGGTGCCACCCCTCACGCAGATCCGCGGGGTCAGGGTCCAAAAACACAGGGGATTTGCCACATTTCTGAAATTCGGCGCCACCCCTTACGCAGATCCGCGGGGTCAGGGTCCAAAAACACAGGGGATTTGCCACATTTCTGAAATTCGGTGCCACCCTTCACGCACATCCATCGCAAGGCGTGGTAACCCAAACTGCGAGAACTCCCTCGGCCCTTTAATCGCAAGGTGTGGTAACCAAGCCCGTAAACCATACACGTCTTACCAATCGCCAGGTGTGGTAACCCCTCTTGTGATCAGTTGGTTTTGCTGATTGCGAATCGGCTTCGCATGAAGTTTCGATACTGCTTCACGACAGCGCCAAGACCTCATGACTTAGCTCTTCCATGGCCCATTCTCCGAGAGAGGGGGCCGGCGGCAGGGGGCGAAGCCCTTACGGATATCGAAGGAGACAAGTCGTGGCAATCCAGGCCAGACCAGGCCGTGCAAGCACTGCGCCACATGCACAGATTAGAGCAAGTCAGCCAAGGCCATACACGATCGTCATAAACGAGAACGGACCGCGTCTGTGTCCGAGACTCTTGCGCTCGCTGGATACGGACAGGCGGCGTGGCAAGGGAGTCACGACTGAGGAGGGGCACGATGGGGGGGAGAAGGTGGAGGAAGAGGCGAGAAGCGATACGAAATTACGGATCTTGTGATTGTGTTGGTTACACTTGAGCTCCGCTCGCTCAAACGACCTCGGAACGACTGCGAAACAATACGTACATGGAACACACACACACACCCTGGACCGCGACAAGGGCTGCGACAACTAAGAAAACCCCGCAACAGGAGAAAAAAGCCGTTCACGTCAGTGTGCGTAACGCTCATGTCCCTCCAGCTACCAGGGCCAAGATTGATATGATGTTAGACAGCGGGAACCCCAAACAGTGACGTCTTGCAATCTGCGCGGGGCAGTCTAGGTGTTGCAATCCATGTGGTGCAACGTAGGTGGTGCAATCCATGTGGTGCAATATGTGCGGTGCAAAGCAATTCAAAGCAGTGCAATGCAAAGCAATGCAATGCAAAGCAAGGCCAATCAATGCAAATCAATGCAACACCATGCGAAGCCATGCACAGCAATGCGAATTAATGCAAAGCTATGCAATGCAATGCAATGCAAGCCCTGCATAGCCTTGCAAAACAAGGCACAACAAAGCAATGCAAAGCCATGCAGAGCCACGCAAAGCCGTGCACAGCAGTGTAGAGCAAAGCGGCGCAACGCGATGCAATGCGATGCAACGCAACGCAAAGCAAGGCAGCGCAACGCAAAGCCATGCAGGGCAGTGCAGAGCAAAACAGAGCAACGCAGTGCGGCGCAGAGCGACTGCAAAACAGTCGCCATTGCAAACCGCAACAAGGTACGATTGCAGTGCAGAGCGATTGCCATGCAGCTGGGGGGGTGCAGCGAGGCGGGACCACCGGGCCCGCAAACGGGCCCGGTTTCCCTTAGAACGGCAAGAAGAACCCCCAAATGCCAGCGCTGCTCGCCGAATACCTGAAAACAAACGGCTTGACTCCTCCCCCTCCTCCTCCTCCTCCTCCTCCTCCTCCGCCTCCTCCTCCTCCTCCTCCGCCTCCTCCTCCTCCTCCGCCTCCTCCGCCTCCTCCGCCTCCTCCGCCTCCGCCTCCTCCTGCTGTCGTCCTGACACGGCCCCAACAGACAGCGAATCCGCCGACCCCCGCTTGCCGTGGGTGAAGAGGCGTGTGAGATAATTTGCTTTCCCCCTCCCCCTGGTCCCCCTCCCCTGGGGTCCAGAATGCCGCTTCAGTGGGGGGGGGGGGGCGGGGCCCCCGGAGCCTCTCCAGAGCCCCAGAACACCTCAAGAAAGCCCAGGAGAGCCCAGACGAAGCGCCGAGACAGTTCAAGAAAGCGTCGTGATGGCGCACGATCGCCCCACGGCGATCCAAGCTGTCTTCGAGAGGGCCCACGACGCGTCCAAGACGGCCCAACATTGCTTTCAGAGAACCGCCGAAAAGGGCCCCAAGACACGAAAGTCGTCCCATTCCTTTGAGAAAGCGTAAGATGTTCAGCTTACTCGCCTTTAGCGTCTCGACAGCGTCTAGGACAGCACAGGAGCTCCATCGATCGCCCCACGTCCGCCCGATAACGGCCCAAGAGGGCCCCAAGACGGCCCAAGAAGCTCACAAAGCAACCCGAAAGAGCCCCAATGGAGGCCCTAGGCGGCCCCAGAAGCTGCCAAGACGCCCCAACAGAGTCCCGAGAGAAGCCCAAAGACAGGGAAAATGAACTGAGATTGCGAGCCATTCCCGCAAAGATGGCCCAAAGAGTCTCCCAGAGGCCCCCCAGGAGCCCTCCAAGAGGCCCTCAAGAGCCAGATGCCTCGACAATCGTCCCACGAGGCTGCCGAAAGGCATCCCGAGAGACTTCAACATGCCTCCAGTAGTCGCCTCACTAAATACCCAAACAAACTCAAGCATCCAAGAAGCCTCCGTCCCACAGGCCGAAGGTGGGGGGCCCCAAGCACCTGGAAAAATGCTACACGTTTGCTTCATTATGTTCGCTTCTTCCCTTCCCCAGCGTCCGACCCCACAACACAACCAGCAGAGGTCTCCCGCTAATTCGGACCGGCCCGACGCGCTGTGTCGTGTCCCTCGAGACGGCCACGGGTAGTTCCTCGACGGTCTAGGATGGTTCGAGACGGACCACGAGGTCCCCAAGACGACCCAGGAATGCTCCCAGAGGACCGCCGAGAGGGCCCAAGAGGCACAAATCGTCACATTCCGGGAGAAAAACGTAAGATGGTCGCATACTCACCTGTGTCATCTGGGCAGCATCCATGATGGCCCAAAGGGCCCCTAAGATCGTTCCAACAAGGCACATCACATGAGGCCTCCAAGAGAGCCACAAGACAGCCCAAGAGGGCCCCAAGACGGCCGCAGGGGCCCTCAAGACGGCCCAGGAAAGCCCCAAGAAGGCCTCAAGAGGAGCCCAAGAAGGAAGATACGAAGTGACACTTCGAGCCCGTCTCCCCAAGATGGCCCCGAGAGAATCCCGGCCGCCCTCGAGGCGCCCACAAGACGACACGACACAAGAGGCCGCACGAGGCCTCCGAGGCGCCCCCGAGATGCCCCCAAGATGCCCCCGAGAAGGCACGAGCGGCCCCGACCCCGGATGCCCCGGGAGCCTTCGAAGAGGCCCCCGGGAGGCTCCCCACGAGGCCCTCACATGCATCCACGAAGCTCCCGAGCCCCCTAATTAGACAAGCTCCAGGATCGTCGCAAGCACTCGCTCCTTGTGGGGGGGCCAGGGAAAGAGCGGAAGGGCGCAAGCCGCTTGAGCAGCAGGCCCTGCAGGCAAAAGAGAGGACACCCGCCGTGCGTGCGCTGCGGGCCTGGGCTGGGCTCCGCCTAAGCACTGCCAAGACCCGTCCGACGCCGCGGAGAGGAGATCACTCTTGCGGTGGCCCGTCCGACCCACCCCCGCTGCTCCCTGCAAGAGCGGGAGGACAAAAAATGGGGTGAGGCTAGGTCGGGAATCTCTGAGATCCAGCGGCTCCGGAGGATGCCTCGGGCGCCGCGGCCTTCTCAGCGCGTTCAAGAACGCTCTGGAACGGACTGATCCTCGTTCTAACCCCGTCCGACCCACCCCGGCTCCTCCTTCCTCCGCCTCTGGACGGCCTCCTCATCCCTGGGGGGGGCGGAGGCCGCCGACGGAGAGATGGAACTTAGAACCTGCACAGGGAGGGGCCGCTGCCATGTGGAGCCCCAGGTTTTCGAGGTCTGAGGGTCAGCCGGAAGGGTGGAGGTGGGCCGCCAGCGCGGCAGAGGGGAAGACGGCAGGCCGAGCTCCCCACTCACCGAAACGCACTGAAACGCGGAGGCAGAGGAGAAAAGGAGGGGGGGGAGGGGGGGAGAGCGAACGCCTCCTGAAGAGCAGGGGGGGGGAAGGGAAGGAGGAAGGGGGGAGGAGGGGGGGAGAGCGAACGTCTCCCGACGAGGAGGGGGGGGGGAGAGGGAAGGGCAGGAAAGACGGAGGGGGGGAGATCGAGCGCCCCCCGAAGAGGCCGAGTCTGGCCTGCGCTGCGCACACTCGCGGAGGCTCGAGAGCACCGGCGCGAGCCGTGGCGGGGTCTCGGCCACGAAGGCGTCGGGGGAGCGCCGATCAGTCCAGAGGAGGGCAGAACTCTCGGAGATCCGCGCGGATCTCGTGGATGGGCGCTGGACTCCGTCCCCAGCGCGCGGAGAGCGCCAAGGACGGCGCCAGAGGCGCCATCTGGGGGGTCCAACGCCGGCCCAAGCAATCCGCGCGGTCCTCCGACAAGGTGTGTGTTGTGTCATGTTTCTTCGAGTGCGCGCAAGGGGGAGCGACGATCTCCCTCTTCGTAGCGTAAATATGTGTAAGCACTTCACTAGACCAGAAAATATAGCCGAACGACTACTGGCCCTGATGCACACCGACACCACCAGGCCACAAAGGAACCAGCAGGTCACCACTGAAAGGGCTCTGAGGGTTCGCATCCAAACTCTCAGAACTGATCACACACAAAAACACGTGAACGTAATCGATCCAGCAGTAGCGGCCTGTAAAACAAGCTTTGGAACCAGCCACGGCATGCATGCGATTGCGTGCAGCCGAGCCTCCACAAAGGGCTGCAAGAGCAGACTACCGAATTGCAGCTTTGAGGTGTCAGAAGTGAGAACGGACCTGGACCACCTCACTCCCAAGTAGGCCCGAATCGCTAGATCAAGGGACCTCGTTCGCAGCCGCCGAAGCAGGAGTGCCGGCGAGTCATGGCACAGCTGATGAGTCAGCTCCAACCCTGCTGCGCGCTGCATTTTCGGTTGGCCCCAGTCTCGACACGAACGAACTCCGCACTTTCCATTCTTACGGCAGCGCGCCGCGCAAAAAAAGGGCTCAGGTCAAACAGGACTGCATAAACATGCAAATACATTTAAAACATACGTATACATGTTGGGAATTCCAGTCGGAATTCTCTGACTTTCGGCGGCGAGTCGAGAAGGGAAGCGAGAGGGGGCAAGCACTCCAAGAAGGCGACGGGACTCCTCAGAAACCCACACGCCTTCTGCGAGGCCCTCCGTGGTTTCGGAGAAGGCTTATACAGCTTCTCACAAGGAAAAAGGCAGTCCGAGCCTTCTGAGAAGCCTGAGATCCGACGTTGCGAAAAAATGCAACATCGCAAAACATCACGACCTCAGGAGGAGGAGAAGGAGGAGGAGGGGGGCAAAGGTAGGAGGGGGGGGAGGAATGCGCGGCGCCTAATCAAGAGCTCGAACTGTCCATGGTTCGCCTCAGCCTGGGACCACCCGGAGACAGCCTGGCCGGCCGCAGCTTCTGCAGAACCTGTTTCTCAAACTACAGCTCCTATTCCTCACCGTACTGCTACTTATTCCTCCTCCTCCTTCTCCCTCCCCTCCTCCTCCCTCCTCCTCCTCCTCCTCCTCCTCCTCCTCCGCCACCTCCTCCTCCTACGTTCCATCATCATCATCATCATCATCATCATCATCATCATCATCATCATCATCATCAGCATCATCATCATCATCAGCATCATCATCATCATCATCATCATCATCATCATCATCATCATCATCATCATCATCATCATCATCATCATCATCATCATCAATCATCATCAGCATCATCATCATCATCATCATCATCATCATCATCATCATCGTCGTCATCGTCATCATCATCATCATCATCATCATCATCCTCCTCCTCATCATCATCATCATCATCATCAGCATCCTCATTTTCCTCTTCCTCATCATCATCATCATCATCATCATCCCTCATCATGAGCATCCCCCATCATCAGCATCAGCATCAGCAGCATCAGCCTCGTCTTCGTCACCACCACCACCATCACAATCAATCAACAACAACATCAGCAGCAGCAGCAGCGGCATCCGCATCCGCATCATCATCATCATCATCATCATCAGCATCATCATCACCATCATCATCATCAGCATCATCATCACCATCATCATCATCATCATCATCCCAAGCAGCATGATCATCATCCACCTCCTCATCATCCTCAGGATCAGCATCATCGTAGTCGTCGTCGTCACCACCACCAGCCTCATCACCACCACAACCCACCACCACCTCCACCACTATCATCATCCGCAGCAGCATCATAATCATGATCAGCATCATCATCAGCATCAGCACCATCAGCATCATCAACATCATCAGCATCAGCATCAGCATCATCATCAGCATCATTACCATCATCAGCAGCATAATCAGCACCATCATCATCATCATCAGCAGCAGCACCATCGTCATCACACCAGCAGCATCATCAGCATCAGCATCAGCATCAGCATCAACATCAGCATCATCATCATAATAAGAATCAGGAGCATCAGCAGCAGCAGCAGCATCAGCAGCAGCAGCACCAGCATCAGCATCAGCATCGGCAGCATCTGTATCATTATCATCAGTCGCATCATAATCACCATCATCAGCTTCATCAGCAGCAGCAACAGCATCATCAGGATCATCAACAGGAGCATCAGCATAATCACCAACGACAGCATCAGCAACACTAATAACGTTACTACTATTAAGCACACCAACATCGACATCAACAGCAACAACGACGACATCGACAACAACAACAACAACAACAACAACACCACTCGTGCTAAGACTGTGTGCTCCTATCTGCTCACGTGCCAACCACTACGTATATCCCAAACCGTCGGTACGCGCCGTCGTCGTCTTCGATCGTACACCCGTGGGGTATATCTTCCTTACCTGCCACGTGCATTTAGTGCAGCCCCTAAAACAAGGGAGGAGAAGACGGGTGGAAGGGGGGAGGGAGAAGAATGGAGCACGAGAGAAATTAGCAGGAGGGGGCAAGGAGCAGAAAACAAGTGGTAGAACCAGACGGGCAGATCGGATGGGCAGACCCATAGCGGGCAGGTCGGGAAGGCGGGCCCAGGCGACGAGGTCGAGCAGGCCGGTTGCTGAAGCGTGTGTGCTGCATGAATCGCGAGGAAGTCTCGAGCGAGAGCGCGATTCCCAAGTAAATCGTGAGAAAAGCCAGAAAGCGAGAGCTTGATTCCTGAGCGCCAGGGCGCATCGTCTGAATAAACTGCGAGGAAGTCCCACGCGTGAGCGCGATCCGTGTACAATTTGCAAGTAAGTCCCGCGCGAGAGCGCGATTTGAGAATACGTTGTAAGGAAAAACCAGGCGGGAGCCTTGTAAACCGAGGCCCAACAACACAGTTTGAGCCCCGTGACCTTCCCTGATAAAAAAACGGGTGCGAGCCCCACGGGAAGCACTTCAATTGGAAAAATATAATGATCATCGGATGGGGAATCAACCATAATTATTCACCAGTAATGGCAATTCAACAATAACATCAACAACCACAACAACAACACCAACAGCAACAACAACAGCAACAACAACAACAACAACACCACCACCACCACCACCAACAACAACAACAACAACAACAGCAGCAGCAGCAGCAGCAACAACAACAACAACAACCACGACAACAACAACAACAACAACAGCAGCAACAACAACAACAACAACACCAACACCAACAACAACAACAACAACAACAGCAACAATCATTTTACCCGAACGCTCAGTGTTCTCCCCAGTGCCAGGGTTTTCTTGCGACACCAGCCAATACCCCCACTTCGTGGGGGGGCCGTTCAAGCTCTACCAAATATCCAAACGACTCTTCGAGACCACCCACACCCAGCTTCCCGCCCTATGACGTTGGGACACTTCACTTCGTGGCGTGCGGACGACCCTGGCTACTACACTGGCGTGGGGTACACACCCACAGAGGTTGATCACATCTGTTACATATGATGTGGTACACGGTACACGTGAGATGGTACGCAGTGCCAAGATAGTTGGTCACATTTTTGGGGCAAATTCGTGGGGATGCGATTACAGAAGTACATGTGTTACACTGATGTTATACAGTCCCAAGGATGACGCATGCATTGCTCATAGACTCATGGCGCTATGATCCTAACTCTCAGTGCCCAACGCGCGCGTGCACAGCCAGACGGAGGGAGAGAAACACATGTATACAAGGTTCGTGACATACGCACGGTCCACCATGTTGTAAACGATCGCATGCACGGTAAGTTCTGAAATTATACGTATGTACAAGCAGACATGCGAGGGAGAAAGGGAGATGGCCATCGACAGTTCCAATACGGCTCCAAGGCGGAAGAGGGGGAGGAGGAGCAGGACAAGGAGGAAAGGAGAGAAGCGAGAAAGGAAGAACGCAGACGGCGCGGCTCTGGACACAAAGGGGTGCCATACTTTCTCCTGCTTTCGCAAACAGGTCCAGTCACACGTAGGGGTATACTCAACCGAATGGTCTTCGCATCCAGAAGCATACTAAAGGCGCGACGCATCGTCGTCTGCGATGGCGCGGAGCGGGCGCGTGGGTGCCCGGCTGCCTGGCTGATACACGTGCGGGCCTGGCTGATACCCGTGCGGTCCCAGATGCCCAATGAGATTGCCGATGCGCCTGCTGGCGGGAAGGCCGGCGCTTGCATACGGCAGTGCTACCGCGAGCACGTTGTGGACCTGCGGTGGCAAGGCCTGGTAATCGAGCATGTTCGGAAGCTCGTCGCTCTGACCATACGACCGCCATACGGGCAACCACCACCACTGGTCTTGACGCGGATACGTGATCTCTGTGCCGACCTCAGGGGATACGTTCCAAAGGGCCATTTTCTGCGGGTCCGTACCCATGAAGGCCGCGTGGTACGCAATGAATACGTCCAAGGTGGCCAGGGCCCTGTAGGAGAGGCCGGATACGATCTCCGCATGAATGGGAATAGCGAGCTGACCGAGCAAATACCGCATACTGCGATACACCCACTGGCCCGGGTGGACGAAGAGGTTGGCTTTCCAGGCGACGATACCTGCTGCGGTGCACAGCGTGTCGAATACGTGCACAAGGTAGCCAATGGGCTTCCCAAGCCTCTCATCCTGGAATACCGAGAAGTTCCCGAATACCGCGTTCGCGTAAAAGTACGCGTCGAAGTACAGCCATTCGGGCTCGGCGATGCCCCCCATACTGTGCTGGTACTCCGGGTCGTTGTTGATCTTCGACTGCCCCGTGGACATACCGCTCGATACGGCGAGGCACACGCCCGTAACACCCTCCCATAGAAGAGGGAAGAAGATACCGCACGCGAACCACCTTTCCGAGCCACACTGCTTCAACCAGCGGCGTGCATACGCCTCGTGGCCGGGTGGCGTATGCCAGCGATCCATACTCGAGCTCACTTCATCATCCGACGGGAAATACTCGCCCGTCAAGGGGTCAAGCCGACCGGCCATCTGGAAAGTCATACGGAAGGCTGGCAATGTGGAGGTGAATACGATCTCGCGACATACAGTAAGCGGCTTGAGCAGAAACCGCTACGTACAAACAGAAACGAACCGCATACATGTGCCCAAATGCCAAAGTCCATACGACCGCGAACATTGGACGAGTGAAACACAGACCATACACGCAGAACTCTCATGCGAGCGCCGTCCGAAAGACGAAGTCCGCCGCCGCACATGCGACCAGAGCAGGCATACGCACATCATCTTTTTATTTGAATCCGCAGGCCTCACAGACTTCCCCTGGGAACCCCCCAGGTAGGTCTGGCGGCTCGGGCCAAAGGCCTAAAGAGAATACATTAAAACCATTGGAACAGATTCTTCCTCGGATGAAGCGTCTTGGTCAGACCCCCCTAAGAGCAATGCCATTTTCCTCACTACCACGGGGGCGCGTCTGCGGGCCGAGGCTGAGGCTGAGGCTGAGGCTGGGATCCGTCACCGTCGCCGTCGCCGTCGCCGTCGCCGCCGTCGCCGTCACCCTCGCCGTCGCCGTCTGCGTCGCCGTCGCCGTCGCCGTCGCCGTGGCCGTCGCCGCCGCCGTCGCCGTCGCCGTCGCCGTCGCCGTCGCCGTCGCCAGGTGCCCACCCAGGAAAATGGTGGCCCCCAAGAAAGCCCATGGTGACCCCGACGCCTTTGATGGCCCGAAGACAGCCGATGGTGACCCCAAGACAGCCTATGACGGCCCCAAGACAGCCCATGGTGGCCCCAAGACAGCCTGTGGTGGCCCGAAGACAGCAGCCAGTTGGTCACATTATTGGGGCAAATGTTGGCGCTGAGGCAGGCTGATGTTGGAACAGATTCTTCCTCGGATGAAGGGTCTTGGTCAGACCCCCCTAAGAGCAATACCATTTTCCTCACTACCACGGGGGCGCGTCTGCGGGCCGAGGCTGAGGCTGAGGCTGAGGCTGGGATCC